CTTCAGACACATCGCTGATCTCACACTCCATAAGCTAAAAAAAACAAAGCCAGTGCTGGCAGGAGTCCGCATCAGCAAGTTTATACAATTGGTGTGTGTGTGTGTGTGTGTGTGTGTGTGTGTGTGTGTGTGTGTGTGTGTGTGTGTGTGTGTGTGTGTCCATCCACACACACGTGCTCACGATCAGATTTATACCCAACCCAATCACAAACCAAAACACACACATGCAGCGTTGTCGTGCGTCTGTGTGTGGATACACAGCTTTAAACGCGGAGCGGTCAGTGGGAGATGGGTCCAGTGGGTTAGGCTAAGCTAGCGAAGCAGGACAGCAGCACCTGGTTTATGTACAACAGGACAAAGGTCAACTAACAGAGTCCAACCCTAACCCAAGCACAAAGGTGTAGGCTTTTTGACAAAACAAGTTTACAGCACCAGTTACTAGTGATTTCTCTTGGCATTCAGTTTATACATTCAAACAGCACAGCACTCTATTTAAACTACTTATGTGTAAATTTGTTATTTGTCCATCCATTTTCATCCACGTATCCGGAGTCGGGTTGCGGGGGCAGTAGCGTCGAGAGGCCCAGACTTCCCTCTCCCCAGCCGCCTGAGCCAGCTCCTCCGGGTAAATCCCAAGGAGTTCCCCGGCCAGGTCCGGTAAGAAGTCCGCTCCGACAGCTTCTGGCGTTTTTAAAAAGTATCCCAGGGGCACGGTAAGGGTCGGAGATGTTTAGTCTATTTAATTTCTGACTATATAAATCGATTTCTTCGGTTTTAAAGTGTGAAGTAAACTCCGACGAAGTAAAATCCAAGCCGATCCCGTTCACGTTCATGTAAGATCCGTGTTTGTTTAGCTTCTTTTACCTGCCAATATGGCGTCTACAAACTGAGAGTCACGTGGGGTCCGGAGCTCTATAACAGCCATTTCATTTCTAAAGCCCTGCAGAACCTCATGGACTATAAAGGGTCATCATCCACTGCAGGAGCAGCTGGTAAACAGATATTTCTGCATACTGTCATTATTGTTAACTGTTGGATAAATAGTTCTTTTTTTATTCTCGTTACCCTAGATCAATTATGTCCTGGATGTGACAAGACCTGGAAGTGAGCTCATCATCAAAGACGGACCAACTTGCCTTTCCAGAACTGACATCTTCACCCTTGGACTTCAGAGAGACATTGATGCAATGGTGCTTAACAAATGTACAATTTACTGATGAAGTATATTTTCATAAAAATAATCATTAAAAATTAATTGATGCTGTTTGTATGCTACATCAACAGATAGGGAATGCATGTCTCAGGATGATCCTGGAGATGGCAAATATGCAGGTTGGTTTAAAACTAAGAATAAGTGACTGGAAGAAAAGGAAATTACTAGACTTGCATGCATTACATAGATGTGTGTGAATATATACATATATATATATATATATATATATATATATATATATATATATATATATACTAGGGCTGTCAAAATAAACGCGTTTTTAATGCATTAATGCAAAGCTCCTTTTAACAGCGTTAATTTAATTAACGTGCGATTAACGCACAGGTTTCCGTACTTTCCTTTTTGCCCTCCTGGCGTTCCATAGCCTACATAAACAAGAACGTTAATGCTCAGTCGGCGGATGCTAGGTAGAGCATGGAACGCAAAAATGGTCTTTTGAATGGAAAGTTTCCATTTAAAACTCTACCAGATGGTATAACTGATAAGACAAAAGTCATTTGTGTTTACTGTCGATGTGAACCGAGCTATCATCGTAGTACTTCAAGTCTCAAATAGCACCTGCTAGCGAAACATACAGCTGATGCAGAGAGCCCTCCTCCTCGCCGAAAGCAAACCACGCTGGAAAGTTTTCAGCAGAGACGCCTGGACAATTCTACATCGTGTAAGCTTTCAACAGCCATTACTAAATGGGTAGCTACAGCTTGCAGACCGATTAACATTGTGGAGGATGAAGGACTACTTGACGTAATTCGCATTGCATCAAGCGACAGCACGTATGAATTACCTTCGAGAGCCACCACGGTTACCAATATACAAAAACTGTATCAAGATGAAAAAGCAAAGGTGGAGGAGACATTGAGTCAGACAAAAACAGTTGCCCTAAAAGGGGACTACTGGACGTCTCTGAGTAATCACAGCTATCTCGGGGTAACAGCACATTATTTTACATCAAACTGGGAACTTCGGTCACATGCTTTGACTGTTATGAAAACAGAGGACAGACATTTTGCCGACACATGCGCTGAACATTTTATGCAAGTAGCCCAGCAGTGGAACATTGAACTTAAAGTCAGCACACTGACCACAGATAGTGCACGCAACATGATTGCTGCAGCGAGGCAACTACCATTTGAGCATATGCCTTGCATTGCACACAGCCTGCATCGAGCTATTGCAGTTTCTCTACAGAACAGTCCATTTGACAGTGCATTGACAAAATGCAGAAAAGTTGTTGGTCATTTCAAGCACAGCCTAGCAAATGCAGTGGAACTTGAACAACAACAAATCGCACACTCCATCAAGAAAGAGTCGCTCACCCAGGATGTGTCAACAAGATGGAATAGTACTCTAGAGATGATCAAGCGTGTTCTGAGAAATCAGGAACCACTGAGAGCTGCACTGGCCCAACAAGCAACCACCGTCACAATGCCAACATCAGCTGAGCTGGAAAAACTGAAAAAGTTGGAAACGGTGCTGGAGCATTGCAGGTATGAAACTCCTGTATTTATCAGTCTTTTGTTAATAAAGTGTGTGTGTGTGTGTGTGTGTGTGTGTGTGTGTGTGTGTGTGTGTGTGTGTGTGTGTGTGTGTGTGTAGGGAGGGAGGGAGGGAGGGAGGGGGGTGGAAGTAATTTAGTCTAGGTGATAGGCTTCTCTGTTTCTGACTGAAATTTAATCTGTTTTACTGAAGATACATCACTGATCCTCTGGGAGGAGAGAAGTTTGTTTCCTGCTCTGTGGTGTTGCCAGCATTGTGCCACCTCCTGCGAGTATTGGAGGTCTCTGAGGAGGACCCAGCTTACATGGTGAACTTTAAAGAGACTCTCAAAACAGAAATAGAGAAGCGCAAGGATAAAGCTAACATCACATGGCTCAAGGTTGCAACTGCACTCGATCCTAGGTTTAAGGATCTCAAGTGTCTTAGCAAACCTGAAAGGGTTGAAGTGTGGCAACTAATCACTGCTTTGCTAAGGGAGAGGCAGGCACCAGCACAGCCTGAAGATTCAGCAACATTGGAGCCCCCCAAGAAAAAAAACAGTCCTCATGCTTTCCCAGGATTCTTCATCTGATGAAGAAGAGGACTGTATTGAGAGATCTTTGGATCGATACAAGGCAGAACCTACTATTGATACAGAGGACTGTCCCCAGAAATGGTGGTCCAGACATGAAGGTGCACACAGTGTGATGGCATCCCTTGCACAGAAGTACTTGGCAACACCTGCCACATCCATACCATGTGAGAGGTTATTCTCACTTTCTGGGCTTGTTGTTCAGAAGAAACGAGCTGCACGAGCTGTCTTGTGAAAATGTGAAAATGCTCGTCTGCTTGAGCAATGGCTAAGTACAAAAAAGTAACTGGGAGAGCCCAAAAAATAACCTGGAGAGGTTCATTGGGATAGGAAAGAAAAAATAAACCCACAAGTGTTGCCTTTTTTTGTTCACCAGAAACAATAAGCTATGTTTAAAACGCACAGGCAGAGTCCTGGTTCTACATCACACACCTCTCTTTGTCCTAGTTTGATTCTCATGTGTTGATTTTGTGAGTCCTTATCTGGGTGGAACCATATATGGTAAAACTGTTATTGTGAGGAAGGTTATGCTTAATTGCACTTAGAATGTTTTTGTTTTTCTCATGAAGATTCTGAACTTTTTGTTATGTTTGAATTTGCTCCAGTTCTAATAAACATATTTTCATAAAAAATTATATTTGTTCACTCCATATTTGAAATAAAATTTTTATCATTATTAAAAGTTAAAATTAAGTTTGTGATTAACTGCGAGTTAACTATAGACAATCATGCGATTAAAGAGCAAGTAACGTCTAAATTAACTTTTTTTGCTGATGAACTGTATAAATGAGTGTCTAATAGTGTTTTAAATGTGTGTATTCATTATTTTAGCATTTTGGTGCATTTTCTTTAAAAATTAAAAAGTCTGCCTAAATACCACAGTATAGCTCCACCTTCAGCTTATAACATAGAATTTGACTCATTTTGAATAAATTTTAGCCAATGGCTAAAGAGTAAGATACTACGTAACCCAGTAGAGTACTACGTAGCAGCTCTCTGTCAAAGTTATAAAAGGATCGAGCGTCTCAGCCACGCCTTGTGGCGAGTTGGGAGTTGGATTTGCAAGCGAGTGTAGGAGGTTAGCCGTAGTTCAGCATTAACATATAGCATTAGCATATCCTAGTCTTTAGCATAGCTTTTAGTGTTATACATACTTATTTAGTGTTAGCTTGGCTGTTGGATATTGTAGTTTAGTTAGTGTTTGGCTGTTAGTGTAATTAGGAAAATAGTTCGGGTTTAGTGCTCCATATCGTGTTAGCATGGTGAGATGGTGTAGTGTAGTATGGTTGCGGTAGCTCTGTGGGGTTGCACTCCTTTCCGCTGGACTCCCGCCTGGTGCTGTAGTTTGCAACCAGCATTTTACCCGCGATTCTGCACGTCTCCGTTTGAAGAGGGAGGCTGTGCCCACCATGGCTCTTCCGCGATTTAGATGCAGCCCACCGACTCTGCCCCCCCACCAAGGCGGGCTCCAGTCTGAGGTGAGTCGGCTAAATAAAGTTTTAACATCTTCTAAAGACAATTCCCCACCTAAATGCAAAGTCCGAGAGACGTGGTTCACTTCATTTAGCTAGTCAGTCGGTAATTCTGCAACAGTGACTCTAACTAACGCAGCACTAGTTGACAGACAGCATTACAGCGTGAAATCCAGCTTGTGAACAGGTTCTGTGAGGAATTCTGTTCAGGAGGTCGCATCGCATTTCAGGCTCTCCACATCATATGTGACTGACTTTTACGTTATAACAACGATCACACACTAGGAATGTTATAAAGCGCCTATATAGGAGATTCTTTTGTATATTATCTGACTTTATAAACTCCCAACAACAATGTGCTTCTATTTTTTTTTCAGGCTAAATCTACCCAAGACACTGGCTGTCAGACTGATTTAGCTGCAAGAATGCACTTGTCCAGGCTGACATGAAGCCTTACCGGCGTAGCAAAGGTGAATTATTTTTAATAATCTTCTATGTAAACATTTTATTATTACCTTCTAGTTCTAATTTGTTTTACAGATTATTGTTACACGTGATTTTATGCTCTTTTAAACATTTATAAATGTGCTGCTTCTTTGTTTTTGTACATAGCCAGCCAGAAGAGCTCACAGCTGCTGTGTGTCTTGTGACACAAGGATCATGACGGAAATTCATCTTCCAGAAAGTCCCAGAGCGTCCACACCCCCTGAAAAGACCAAGATGCGAGGTGTCTGCTATTGATTCCAGCTTCCACCTCAGTGACAGTGCAAGCTCAGTGAACTGTTCAAGGTAAAAAAAATTAAAACATTTCAGAATTTTTAAGATATTAACAATTAAATAAGTATGTGATTACATCATGACATCATGAAGGAGGCTACCGATTCTGGCCCTGTGACACTTGGTGGTGACGTGTGAGCTGATTCACCTGGTAAATAACTTTTACATTAAATATTTTGTTTTTGCTATCAAAAGTAAATTAACTAATAACCTGCATTATTGCAGGACACTCAGCAAAATATGGACTCTACACCATGAGGCAGGCACACGTTAATAACTGTATAAGAGCACATAAGGTGAGCAACACCACATATTATTTTTATTACTGTACACTATCCTGGATTTGTTTTCTTTCTGCATCTCATCATTAGCCTGGCTGATCACCTGATAACTCCTGTCATCTGGTTATGACAGCATGAGGATGTCCTCACACACCTGTAACCTATCAGCTCATCTGGCAGAATAGAGAGAGAAGAGACAACACCACATCTCCTGTTCCTGGAAAGCCTTCAGCCATCCTTTGATGACTAAGAACCTCCATCAGCTCTGTCTCCTGTCTGCCTACAATTATTATAATAAATATTGTGTTTGAAAAGTTTTTTGTGCTGCCAAATATCTCATTTTGATATTTTAATGGATATTTATAAATTACATTAATTGAATTATCACATTGCATGTTTAACTAGCTCTATTGTGATGAATTAAACTAGCACCTCACTGTTAAAAGCTCGTTTTAATTTCAAGCATGTTTAAGTATTTATGGACATAAACAAAAACAGGAAATATATAAATTGAGATTTATTTAATTAATATAACAAATAAGGGGGAAAGAGTCATTGAAAGGCACATTCTTCTGGAAGCTCCTGATCCTGACGACACCAGCAGGAGACCAGCTGCAGACACCAGAGGATCACCTGCAACCAAGAGCAGCTAGTATCAGTAAATAAATAATGAAATCAGGGCAGTTTTAGTGGGCTGAACACATTACAAAATAATTTTCTCATGGGATATTTTCATAACTTTATGCAGAGCTGCTATCCAGCACGTTTCAGTGGATTTTCCTGCTTTAACAGGTTAGATAAGCTGTTAAACAGCTCAGCTATTTGTTGCTGATTAAAACCAGGTGTGTTGAAGCAGATAAATCTCTAAAGTATGCTGAATACTAGCTCTCGGGCCATGGAGCAAAACCCTGCAGCTAATCTGATGCTATGGCTAACGGCTACTTACCATTCAGAGATGGTTCTGTTGGGTCGGTTCCGGTAATTTCAGGCAACTCACAAGCTCAAAACAATAAGGCTCAGGTCTGCTTGTCTCCTCCAAATAGACTTGGTCCCTTTCTTCTCGAGTGTCTGGGTAAGGAGGGGGAGAAACGTCCTCCACTTCTGATGACTGCTCAGAGTGAAGGGAGTTAGCATCGTCTAGTTAGCCATCGTCTTCGTCACTGCCGCGGCTCCGCCCTCTCGGTCCTCCAGGCAACGCCTACTAATGTTGCATTTTTTTAAATTGATACGTGGGTGGAGAAGGACTCCGAGGCACACTTTACCTGCCTATATATATATATATAGGTGATATACCCAGCACTTACAAAATCTTTGTATGCATTCATTCTACAGGGACGGGATGTTTTTGTCGCTGACCTGCATGTGACATGAACATGGCTACCTCCCACCAACTGCGATGCCCTGCTCCATTTCCCAGTAATTATAAACATAAAATGTGATTTTTGTGAAATGTTTTTGCTGGCTCTAAACACTGTATCAAGGATAATTTAATGCCAGGATACTTCTAATACTTAGCTAAATAAAATGTCCCTTAGCCTTGCAGTGCTAACAAATCACTACTCAATATCATGTAGTCCCCCTTCATGCAAAATGATTGTAATCTTTTTTTTATTTGTTTGTTTGTTTTTACAGAAAGATGCTGACCAGAAAGATGCCATCATCATCCCACTGTGGATTCCAGGGCATTTTCTGTTGAGTGTAAGAACATTATTCCATTTACAGAACAATTTTGTGAGTGGCATTCAATATCAACATAACATGTTAGGACATATGTTGTAGATGATGTCTGTGTTTTAACCTTAAAGTCATTTGTGAGTTTCCTGAGCAAGGAGGCTAAACAAAAACTGCTCATATAAAGTCAAAGTCAGTTTTATTGTCAATTCTACCACATGTGCAAGACATACAGAGAAATGAAATTGAGTTTCAGTACACACAATTCAGAGATCAGACATACATGGGCAAGACACATGACAAGAATTGGTGACTGTGGTCCTTCGCAACCCGAGTCGCGCTACCTTAAAAGATGAAAAGGGAATTACATGAGGATAAATTGGGGGAGGGAAAAAAAAGCATACCAGAGTTACTCCCGGCAGAAACTCAGAAAAGCTCTGGACTCATCTGAATTTTTGAAGAGGCTGTAGTATTATGTTGACATAATTTATTTTTTTGGAAGGTATTAGTAGGGCCAATAAAAGCTGTTGCTGGTTGTTTTATTTGTCTGAACTTTTTTTAAAAGCAAAACTTTTCTGCTTTTGTGTTTATAGCATATTTTTTTTTACAGATTAGTGTATGGTCAATGTCAGTTTACTATTCATGTGAATTGTATACTTCAAAATATTTTAGTAATTTCTAAATCAATACATTTTGTGTCAAAGGGCCAGCAATTATTCCTGTTAACAGAATATCTGAAATGCATAAATACACATATAAATATGCCTAAAAATTACACATCAGCAGTTTTTCACTGTAAAGAAGCAATAAAAAATGATAAATAATAACATAAATATTAACTACTCACTCGTATTGACTTAGACCCACTGTTAGTGCCTGTAATAACAAATGGTTGAAAGTTAAATGTTGCTGTAGGAGGCGTGCTCCCAAAAAATGGGGGCTAGTGGGCTTAAGGGGTTAATTAAAATGATTACCACTAATTACTTTTTCTGATATTTAATTTTATTGCATTTAAAATAAACACTTGCACATACATTACTCACCTGCTAACTTAGGCCTAGTCCACACGTAGCCATTTTTTTAAACGAATATCCGCCCCTCCAAAAACTTGCATCCACACCACCTCGTTTTTAAAAAAAACTCTGTCCACACGTACCCGGATAAATACGATGTTAAGGACATGCCAGACCTGTAGGCGGCAGTACTTCCCCCGTTCTTAACCTCATCCTTCGTCTGTGGTCTTCCGCAAGGAGCAGTAATTCCGCTTGCAAAAACAAACGAGCAAAAAGCGCTTGGACAATTGATAAAGCGAGCGCAGCTCTGAGGGCATCCATGCTGTCAGCTAGTGTAAACACAGGTCGCACACGTGATGTCAGCATTTTTTGTCACGGAAAGTGACGTTGCGGACCTTAAAACTCCGGTTTTGTCTGTCCACACGCAGACACCCAAAACGGAGAAAACGCAGATCTTCACTTTGGCCGGAGTTTTTAAAAAGATCCGTTTTCGTGTGGATGACAGGCCAAAACGTAGAAAAATATCAACGTTTTGGCAGATCCCCGGCTACGTGTGGACAGGGCCTTAAATAAGCATATGTATGTTGTGCCTATTGTCCGGCAACTGATTATTTGTTGGTGGTATTGGTGTTTTATAATCCCACTGGGGATGGCCATAAAGTGTGTATGCAAGAAACAAAGAATATCCATACATTCATATTTAAATCTGGATAGATTTTATTTTCGGTTTGACCCCAGAGTAGGGTTGTCACGGTATGAAAATTTAACCTCACGGTTATTGTGACCAAAATTATCACGGTTTTCGGTATTATCGCGGTATTTTTTAAACGGTGTTGCATATGTTCAGAAAGCATTGATAGTCCTGTTCTACACAAACTGAAAAGGTTTAACAGTGTTTATTAAACCTAAAATAACACAAAGCCTTAGCAAAAGTGCAACTTTTCACAAGTAAAGGAACAAATAGCTTATTTTTCTGGAACATGTTACAGTAGTCAGTGCAGGTTTAAATTATACAAATCCAAACATTCAAAACATAAACAATATGTAAACAAATCAAAGAAACACCACTTGTTTTCTCATATACTTGTTTTCTTCATTATCAAAATGAAAATCTAAAACTCCAGTCCACACTTGACTTGAGCACTGTACAAGTCAACCTTAAAAAATATGTATTTAAAATAAATATCCACTTTAAACAAATTACTAAAATAACTACTACACTATGTAATCAAATCCAAATGTTCAAGTATAAATGGCATTGAATAAGTAAACAAATCCATGACAAGGAACTAATTGTATATTTCTCTTCATCATCAACAAATAAGATGCTTCATCCAGCAACAGGGTGTCCGTGACACGATTTAAATGCTGGCAGAGGGCGCTGCGGCTGCAGCATATAGTGACTCGTTGCATTCTCCCTCAACCAAAAGTCCTCACGTCATGCATTTCAGCTAAAATGCTAATGTTATCTTACCTTGCACTGGCTGTGGAGACGTGGGTGATCGTCACGCAGATGTGCCATGAGATTTGAAGTGTTGCTGCCTTTTGCAGACACTTGTTTCCTGCACGTTCTGCAAACGGGATAGCCGTCTTCTATTAACTGTCCCTCAGCATTTTTCAGAAATCCCAAATATGCCCATACTTCCGATTTAGTCTTCTTTGAGGGCTGATGGATGTCCTGGGCGCTGCCGTCTCCTCCTTCGGCCATTATTTCAGCTTCAAAGTTTTGGTGCCGTTGCAAACTAAAAAGTGCGTGTGCGCGCAGCGGGAACTTCAGCTGAAGCGACGGTGGCTGGTAAGGGTCATCGCGCCGAAACCGCGGCCACGGTAAACCCACCGAGATAATATAGTTTTTTAAAAACTGGACGGTTATTTTTATTGTCAACTTTTTTACCGGGGTTTACCGCTATACCGGTTACCGTGACAACCCTACCCCAGAGAATAAATAACGGGCACTAGGGGGTGCTAAAAGCAAGCAAAACTGCTTAGTATCCCTTTAACAAACACACATGATACCAACCAACACAAATGTGTCATCACATACATGTTAGGTAAGAGCTTTTGTATTGATGAAAATGTCCGGTTTTTCATCCAGGAGCAGGGATCGAATTATAGGGGAGCTGGATATCCTACACATCCAGGGGAGCCGGAAATAGTTTTCTACCCATATTACATCATTCATGGACTCTTTTGAGCAGAGAGCGACAGAGCGATGATCGTTGGTGCGCAGTGCCCCAGGCTGCTGCGTCCAGCGCACCTGAAGTTTACTGGCTTATTTGAATCGTATGAACGGTGTTAAAAACTGCTGTGTCTCATTGGTCTGGCTTAGTAACACAACTGAGAAATGGTTTGTGATTTTTTGACAGATTTATAGGAGCTATAAAAAATCTCTTAATTTTGGAATAAAATTCTAATAAAAAGATCAGATTGTATGAAAGTTGTTATAAACGGCTGTGTCTCATTGGTGTGGCTTAGTAACACAATTAAGAAATGGTTTTGGTTATTTTTTCCATTCCATTCCATTTATTTGATAAAGCACATTTAAAAACAGCATGTGAGCTGACCAAAGTGCTGTACAGGGGTAAAAACATATAAGGTTAAAAGAATAATATAAAAGAATAAAACAACTAGAGCAGAACAAAAAGAACCATGAGAAGTCAATAAAATCAGTCAAAGAACAGTGTAAATAAACCATCGATAAAATAGCTAGGTAGTAAAAGCAAGAGAATAAAAATAAGTCTTTAAGTGGGACTTAAAAACCCCAATGGAGGAGGAGATTCTGATATTCAGTGGGAGATCATTCCAAAGTTTTGGAGCGCAGACAGAAAAAGCTCGTTCACCACGGGTTTTGCAGCGTTGACGGGGAATCTGTAGTAGGTGTAGGTCACCTGAACGGAGAGTCCTGCCTGGCACATAAGGAGTGAGTAACTCGGATATGTAGGGTGGTGCTAAGCCATTCAGCGCCTTAAAAACAAACAATAAAATTTTAAAACGTATGCGGTAGTGCACAGGAAGCCAGTGAAGTCTTGCTAAAATTGGAGTGATGTGCTGACGACGGCCAGTATTGGTCAGAAATCTTGCCGTCGTATTTTGTATCAGCTGAAGGCGAGATAATGCAGCTTTTGAAATACCAAACAGAATTGCGTTGGAGTAGTCCAACCTTGAGGTGATGAAAGCGTGAATGGTTGTCTCGAGGTGGCGCTGATTCAGAATGGGTTTTAGTTTGGAAAGACGTCTTAGCTGATAAAAACATGATTTAACCATG